GACTTCGAATCCATCCAACTTCATATCGCCTTCCAAATTTATCGTCAGTTTAATTTGCTCTTTTATATTTTTGACTTGTAACTAATCTGGTTCTGCGACTTAAGTTTGTACGTCTAATACCTGACATTTTTTAAAACAGCCTAACTAAAACACTTTAAACAAACGATTTTTTTTTCTTCATTAAACTATGTTTTTTTCGTTAGGTCGTTATTTAATTTTTACACCAAATTATATAAAGATAATTTTAAAAAAAATTTATAAGTGAGCTACCCTAACTTACCTATACGAGATATTTACATATTTAACTACAATATTATTTATACATTTTTATGATTCAGACGAATTCTACAGACTACTTGTCAGTATTAAATTCTATACAAAGATATCGTACACCTTTATAATTTTTAAATAGTTATAAAAACAACCTATGAGGAATCTATATAGGAATTCAGGTTTTTGACTAAGCGAATAATTTTTTATAGAAAAAAATTAATCAAATACGCTGTAAGCGAACCCTCTCCCCCAAGACAACCACTGTTTAAGATTGGAGAATGGTAATATATTATATAATAATTATAATATATCTATTTAAGATAGTAGATAGTAAACAGTAAACACAGTGTATAATTAGATAATAATATAATAATTTTACTAGATACCTTATACCATCAACTTATTTATGACCCTCAATAATAAATATGGTCACTATTCGCGCCAACGACTGGGGCTGAGGAGAGATATGGGTTTGTGCGACGTGCTGACGTGGTATTCTGTTAGCGAGTGAACTGTCCAAGGATTCAAATGTAGGTAATATTATTGACAATATTGAACACAGTAATGTACCTATTTTGCCTATACTATACGCCGGCCAACACTTTATATTTGCGTACAGCATCTAAAACAACATTATATTATTTATCATACTTGTATACATTTAATTTTCATCAGTATTTACACCAATTTTAAGCGTAATGTTAAGAGGTATTGAAACTTTTTTATCACACTGTTTCTTTATGTAAGAACGGTTCTCTAATTTTATTGGCAATTTTTTAATCAACGGTGCGTCGGTCGACGGATACAATACGAGCGATGATAATAATTCATAATACTCGTAAATAATAATGATTTTAGTATTATGATAAAATAAAAAAACAAAAAAAAAAATGGTATTTTTACGTAAAATTAATTTTGTCGAAAAATTAATTTCTTTTATGGCGTACTCCTAAATTAATAACCAAAGATAAACTTCAAAATTTCACTTTAATTTTTTTAGTTAAGAATTAAAAAATTTAAAACTAGTTTTTCATACATTTTTTATTTTATACGAGCGATAATAATAATTACTTTAGACTTGAGTTATGTAGGAATAAGAAATGATACCTACTTAAAATTCTTATAATCACTTTAATGATTAAAAATTATATTTATTTTATATATTACATTTGTTTTGGCTCACTTAGTTTCTTCGACAACTACCGAGGCTTGCCTTTAGTCACGACTCACAGTTTGAACATTGAATACCTCAAGCGTATAGTTTGTACCAGTGGCGTGACGAAGGACTATATTTGAGGCATGTATTTTCGTAGCCACTGGTCAGATTGCTAATAATTGCAATATTTACAACTATAAGTTCTTATACCTAAAATCTGCTGTACGTTATAAATTTTACATTCGTAGTAATTTTATCTGATACCGCGTAAGCGTAGGTATACTCAGTTAGTATTGAATACCTCGGATTATATTAAATGTTTTCGTAGCATTCAGTATACACTTGAGTAAAATCTAGACGAACATGAGCTTAATCGTATAGTTTTCAAAGAAGATAATCGGCGATATATAATGATTAACGAGTAGGTGTTATATGTAATGACATTAACCTGTTAGTTTGGTTCGTTTAAAATTGTCAAAACCATACCATTTTCTCCGGACAACAAGAATGTCAAGTATAGACCATTTAACGATT